GGCCATTAATGGGTTAAGTAAAGATTAACAAAAAGAATTGGGTAACCACAAAAAGTAACTACTGAGCAAATATAAGCCTATTGTAAGTATCTGTGCTGAATACATTGATGAACAACATGTATAGTATTCTTGCATAATAGTTTCTCTCTTTGGTTACCTTGACATAGATATCATGATGACAACAAATCCTTGGTATTTCTAGCAAACTTTTTCCCTGCTTGTTAAAGCTGCAACTAAATATCTATGGTCTACCATGGGTCAAATTAGTGAGGTTTATTTCCCTATCACAAGAGTTGCTATTTTGGTAAATCTCCCGCTCTAATAGTAAATGAAAGAGATCTGTTATCTGATTAGTTAATTGTACAAACTTTCTTCTACAGTAGATGACTGCCCTTTAGTCAGTTGTAGCCAACTTGCTCTCTAGCTCTTACATGAAGTATGAGTTCATAAAAAACCCATTTTTCTAGAAAACTTCCTTCCCAATCTAGACTGTGAGAAAAAATCCAAAGATCATCAACTTGTCCTTAACTGTAAAAATTAGTTTTTAGAGATAACTTTTCTAAGAAAACTTGGTACTATCTCATCCTTGAGTACCTTCAAAACTTTTACATAAATATCTGTGAAATAAAAAATAGGCTGTACAAAATAAGTTACTGGCTAGATTTTCTAATGTGATTACTTTTTCTCCCTCAGGGGTACACTAGGGGGTGTATTCATCACTTATGTTGTGCATCCAATAATATGCATAATTGAACATGATTCAGGCTAAAATCATGCAACAACAACAGAAAGTATTATCTGATGTATAAAAGGTTTCTGCTATTTTACTGTAATTTTCAAGTGGTTCAGAGCTGCAACTGATTCCACTGACCTTGGCATTCATTTACGAGTGCAAGTGTTGAAACATAGGCTCTTGCAGACATGATCTTCTATACAACTCTTCCTTTTTGTTTGTTTTCTTTAAATATGTTAGAGAACAATTTCTGGGAAATTTTTTTATCACATAAAAATTGTGTGACAAATCATCACTTTTTTTTTGGCAAAAATAGCATAAGACAAGGAAAGTGTGAAAATTCACATTCAAAGTAACGTTGAAAAAAAAAAGAAATTAAAAAATGAAGGTATACTCTTACATTCTTCAATATGGCAAACAGTTTTCCCCTTGAGAGAATGTTTTAAAAATTTATAGTTTACGTTCATTTTAAAACTGATTCTATCAATAATGCTAAAACCACTCCCACTCAATTTCAAATAATCAACAATCATGCTCAAAGGTACAAAGACGCCACTTCCTCGTAAGGTCTTCGGTAGCACTCAGTGAAAGTTAAGAAAATAAAACAGAGAATAAGGGGTTAGATACGTGTATGTCTTTTGAATTTTTATAAATTATCAATATTGTGCGTCTGAAAATTGTGAAGACAAGTTATAGTATTGTTTTTGTCCTTTTCATTATCAATTGAAAAATTACCTCGTTGTGAGTGTTGGAAATGAGCAAATATTCCTGACAACAATGTATCAAAATAAAATTATCAGCTCTTAAAATTAGACTCGATGGAAGACCTGTGTACGTTGGTGAAAAAAACTATTCGAGCAAATGAAAGATTATATCCTTTCATATTTGAGTAAGGTTTATGGTCCATTTTTCGTTGTAAGTGATCGATAGTCCTTGCTAACACAAAGGAATGCCAGAAGTCGACCTTTGATACGCTACAGTATCAATACAAAACAACAAATTGCGGACGGGATAAAGTATGACCCGACGTACCAAATCGAACTGCGTTAAACTTAACATCGTGCCTTGTTTCTAAAGCGACAAAACACATGTTCTAACGGACGTGTCAATTCACAATGCATCGTGATCGGAAAAAATTACATGACTTGTATTGTGAAAACGTGTCAGACAAAACACTTCGAACTGACAAAACAAACTGCAAGACGATCTGAGCAAAATGACTCTCTCTGCAACAAAGTGGCAGTGAATTACAATTCTGCTATTTCTTCTTAGTCAAGAAATTGCAGCCCATCCGTTAATAAATGAGATTAGAAACAAGAAGAAGATAATCAGCTAGCTACGTGACTTGCATACGATTTCTGATCGTCGAAGAATTCTACAAATTTTCCAAATAATCACTAAGAAGGAAAACAATAGAGACACCTCAACAGATCTTCCCGGCAAAGAGCTAAATACGAAAATAATCTCACCCCAAAAGAAAAAAATGCTCAAAAAACAACGAGGAGAACCTTCTACAGCGCACGTAAAGTACTCTAAGAGCCTCCTTTTCGACCAAGTGCCATCATAGCGCGTGCTTACTCACCAATCCTATCACTACTACCAACGTTTCTTCCTTCCCCAACCGACATTTTTCCGAATGGCCGCCAGTTTAAACAATGAAAACTACCTTTTAGTCTCGAAACTTTTCACATGCACCATAACCAAACGCAGACAATGTTCCCATAGCACAAAACGAAGGTGAAAACGTCTGCAGAAAGCGAGGGAAACTCAGACAAGACAAGCAGACACAAGCTGAGTCAGTGCAGCTCTCAGTTGGCCTGACGGAAAATATCACGAGAACATCCGGGGTCTTGCACTGCGCATACTCTATCCCAGACGATTTCATCAAAGTTTTGATGTCTACAAAATTATAGTGAATATCTGTTTTGAATATTTTGAATTGGAAATAAACTGAGTTGATAATAACAATGGCCGAGAATAATAAAGCCTATGGGGGCGAAGAGAAAATTGATTCAAAGATTTCCGTATTTTTGGATTATTCATTCAAAATCTAATTGGCAAAGTTGATCTCTGCTACTACAAGGTCCCTGAGGTCCGCGAGGCGGGAATAAAAGTTTAGGGAACATAATAGTTTTCCAGCCACCGGCTGAATCAAAAAAATAAAACATAAAATATAAACATGGGTCTAGTGTATGTATGCAACAGAATTACCAGAACTGGCAAAAAAAAAAAAAATTGTTTACGTTAACTTAAATTTCAATTTCCGTGGGTTTCAAATTTTACTGTTAGATAACCGTGACTAAAGATTCGAATTTTTGATGAAGATTATCCATAATTTTTAATTGTGGACTTTCGACCTGTGATCATGTTTATTTTTGATTATTCACAGCGGGGGTTGCTCGTGGGGTCAGTCTGAACAGGCGTGTTAGAGGGGTGTATATGATCACATGCAAAGCTTACAAGTAAACACGAGGGAACACGTAACCAGCACGTGGCTTAGGGTACAGGCTACTTCCGTGTGTACTACGAACACTTTTCGTATGAGGGAACGCTGTTTTTCTTTTGTTTTGTTTTTTTTTTTTTTGTCCACTTGCCACTTAGCCTGATGCCTTTTACGGCTTTTGTTTCGTAGAGGGTGTAAAGCGAGGGGTAGGGGAGGGGAGATGTCTAGATCGTGTTTCGCAAATGCAAAATACCCAGAGCCATCTCGCGAAAAATAAATCAGGCATTGACGGGAAATTATACTTTTTTTTAAAGACTGATTCTTGCTAAACTACAACCAACGTGAAGTTCTCTCTCTTTTCTTCAGCGAATTTACACTCCTTGTTTTTTTCTCATCACGCTGGTTAGGTAATGTAGCGATGTGATCACGTTCATACATTAGTCACGTATTCCACACAGAAAGCCTTCTTTTTAAAGGCCCAATGAAGAGTGTATTCGTGGTTTGTGACCGCAGTTACTGAATAACATATCACGAAGACAAAGTAGCCATTTAATGATTCACTAAAAATAACAGCAGCCTTCAGTGGATCTTTTAAAAAACATTCTTAATTTCCCCACGCTTTTCACGAGCGTGTGAAACAAGTAGCTGGCAAAAAACGGAAAATACGCCTGTTGAACGCGGAAGTAGGTTTTTATTTAATATCTTTTTGGTTTTCTTCCTGTCTATCATACGAAAATGATCGAATTTTCGTCTGTAAAGCAAACAGACCTCAAAAGTTGCTTTAAAAAATTAAAAATTATCTTCATGGAAAAAAACCTCCCCCGCACAAAAAATATATTGTTCGACGTCTTGAAAAGGTCAAGTTAACGAATTCATATGCAGAATGGTAACAGGCTGTGGTTGGTGTGAAGTATTTTGTTGTGTTTTGTCTTGGTTGCATTTCCAAAGAGCAAAAGCTCTCGAGTTGAGAAGAAGCATGATCCTATCTCGGGCAGAACTGAACTGATGGCCATGCTAGTCTGTTTCTAGGCTGAATTCACAGAATTAAGCCGAGAAATGGACCAGCATGGTCGTAAGTCAGAAACTTTAAAGCCAGATGAGCTTTTTTTAAATTCCATTCACTCTTTGTGTTTTTTTTTTTTTGGCAGCATACTTTACAAGCTTTCCAATATTTTCAGTTTTTTCTTTTTTTGGGGTTGTTTTTTCAGCTGGACAGAAGCTAGATAAACAAACTCCAAAATGCTATTGACGACAGTGGCGAAATACGTAATTTGCATAACAGCAAATTAAATATTTAAAAGAACACCTCTTGAATAAAGC